CATTTTCTCCCACAACACTGATAACGATCTCACACAGTTGTTTATAATCACTTATTGCATTCATCAGCTGAGACTAATTATAACTCAGATGAAAATCATCCTTGCAGAGTGCATTCTAAATATTAATAAACATAAATAATGCAAGTTTACTATTAAAGCAATTCAAAACAACAAACAGAACCCACAGGGAGTTCCTTAAAATTAATCTGGTTCCACATAAATTCTGTCTTAAAATGTTCAAAGCAACAATATCCCATATCACAGGATATATGAACTTTCTCCTTTCTTTTTGTTCTGTTTTTTAGATGTGAGTGGTTGGCAGGTCAGGAAAACTTCAGTGGTAACTTGTACTAAGGAAAATGGAACTAATTAAACATCAAGTGGTAAGAAAAAACAGAACCAGCTGCATTTGATGTTTATTTTCTAAAATTCAAAATATTGTTACCTTTTCCCTTCATTTCATAGACTGTCATTAACAAACGACTATCAAGGATTTGAAAACACAACTTTGCATATGTATTTAAAATGAATGGGTTTTAAATTTCAGATATGCTGACACATTTTCATATTTAAAAGCTAGTAGTTTTAAACACAATCTCCTATTAAGTTTTAGGGAGCCTTTAAGGAGGTTGTTTGGAGTTGAAAATCTTATAAAACACATTCAAAATAATTGGTTTTATGATCTTAGGCAAATTAATTAACATTTTGAGTTAATATCTGATAAGTAGTGATGTTTTTCTCTCTCACAAAGTTATTAGCATGAAAAGAGAATTGATTTTTAAAACGGAGGCACAAACTTTACCTAGGCCTATTCCTATTATTACCACCATATTTCCCTTTGTAGCTCTGTATGCTGGTATAGTTTATTGCTATTACTTTACTGTATTACAGGAATCATTAACTTTGAAGAGACATGTGAAGAGTTTCTACTTTGCCAGTTAGCATATTTCATTTTTGACCACCTCACTCTCTTTATTTGTTAAATACCATCAGTAAATACCAATAAGTACTCCAAATACATTGGAGAATCAAGTAAAGGATCAGGTATTGAAAAAAAAATGAAAATACTTACAAGCTTTCTAATATTAGTCAAAGGATAATACAGACTGTATGTTCCATGCATTCATGTTACTAGTGAATTTACACAACGCAAAAAATGTTGGCACGATTTGACAAAGAGCAAATGCTTCCAAATGTTTGAATATTATAATATTTCTTATTCTTTAACATATTATAGAGATAACTTTTTAGAATTCTGTAGTGATTGACTCCTTTCACATAAAAAGAGTCTTTAAAAAAGAAAAAAACAAAAAAACAAAAAACCTTGCTCAGTTTCTATTTGTCATCCTGAACTGCTGGAGTTATGTAGCAAAATATATGTCTCCTTGGATCATGTCAGAAGGTTTGTTTTCATTAAGAACTTTCTAACCAACAAAGCAAAAGAAATCTTAACACTCTCTACTTTGATATTCTCTTATCAATCCTTCTTATCCTAATTTCTAACATAATTTAAGGAAAGATCTCTTGTAACTCCCCTTCTCTATAAAAAGAAATGTTTTATCTTTAAAAAAGAAAGAAATGTTTTATCTTCAAAAAGAAAAGTCTGTCTAAAAAATATGACTACAATTAGTTCCATGTGAGTGTGATAAACATGTTAATTTCAAAAAGGTAATGGATAAGGAAAATCCCCAAACAGAAAGTTTGACTTAAAACATAGGTTGTATTTTTTCTCAAAATAAGTCGTTTCTTTCTTTCATTAGAGAGAAGGAAAGGAGAGAGAGAAACAACCTCAGTAAGACCTCTTACTGCAATACTGTCTACGCTCAGTCTTCCCAGTTAGCAAGGATCATGGGTGTAATATAGGTTGGCTGACTCAGGAACTGAACCTCCGACCTCTTCACCAGTCCAGCATCCTGCAACAGCACACTACCACTGTGCCATAGTGACTAAGCCATCTATGTTGCATTTTAATGTTTTCGATTAAAGATAGTACAGGGGCAATTCTTAGCAAACTTTAAAATGATAATACCGGTGAGATCTAAACTGTTAAATAAAATGATATTTCAAGTGATAAGGACGACTATCTGGATTAATGTTTATATATTTGGTTAAAATCATTCAAAAATCTCACCAGTGATTACATAGCAAAAAAAAAATAAATAAATACAAGTGTAAATAAGTTATCTATTTGATTTAGCCATTGAAATATGAAAATTCTTGAGATTATATTATCCTCTTTCACATTTGCAGATATTTCTGCTCACTGTCTAATTGGAGATGGTGAAATCATGAGCCCTAAAAACAGTTTCCACTGACAACAAGTCTCAGGAAAGTGATAAAATTTGTTTTGTCTTTAGTTCTTTCAGATCTAGAAAATGATATAGATGAGTTTTATCAAAACCTTAAAGATACAAATTCTTCCATGAAATAAAAGCTCTCAAACTCATGATATATGGCTAAAAATAAATCTGATGATCAAATTACACAAAGACTAACATGAAAAAAGAAAATAACAGTCAATCTCACTTAGGAAATTATTATGAAGTGATAAAAGTACATGATGGAAAGGTGATTTCAATCATAATGCAAGGCCTAATTTATTTAGTTCACTATATTGACAGTTTCCAAAAGTACAACTTAATGGTTCTTCTCTATAAACTTTCTTTTTTTCTGTTTCCTTTTCTCCTTTGTCTAATATCAACCTCTCTCTAACCCTTTAACAAATATTCTGAAGTTCTCGTATGACTAATTAACTTCTTAATTAACTTAGCTCCCTTTCATACAGCCTCCTGAAAATCTTACTTATACTAAAAAATACTCTTAATGCATGCACACACATACAGACACACACACACACACACACACACACACACACAGAGCTTGGCAACAGAGGCCAGGCTTAGTAACACAACTGGATCCATATGGAAAAGTTTTGAGTTTGCCTCCTGGGCCCTCCCCAAGCACAGCAGTTGCAACAAGCAGGCTGAACCTGGAGGTGGGTAGTGATATAAAGACCCTATTGGGAGGGCCAGACTTTCTCTTTCCTCAAAAAGAAATTAAAACAAAAGCGTTTACAAATCACAACGATCATTTTGGAGTTAGAATGGGGGAAGCGTTTTACATCTATGCATGTTTATGAAAAAGTTAACCATCAGAAATTCTTTACATAGGAAAGACCAAAAAGGTTCTTGCTACTACACAAAGTTGCTTTCTATTTCCCTTCGAATCTAGAGCATGACAAGTTCCTTTCTTTCATGTTTCCCATTCATCCAATGTTGTTGTATGGCTTTTATTTCTTAGCTAGCTAGTAATGGTTGCACATTTAGCTTTGTACTTAAATCTGTCTTTAAGATATTTTCTTCAATTTTTTTTTTTCTTTTTCATTCAGGAGACTGCTTTGGTACAACTCAAAGGATTCTATTTGTAATGTTCTGGGTCAAAACTCAATATCTTGAGACAATTTTTTCTAATTAATACAATTCTCATCTTCACTTATATTTTTTTCCAAAAGCAAAACTAAGCATTTTGATTATTGTTATAACTCTATTTTATCATGCGAGGTGGAGAAGGTTTTGTCTACTAAATACTTATAAATTAAAATTCCATAAAGAAAAAGAACTTTGGGCCCTACATTTGGCCACTAAGACAAAAAGGAAACTTAGATTATAGGGTTTGATTTTCTAGCTCATTCTACCCCACAAATACCATAAATCTCTAAGTAGATGTTATTTTACTCTTTTCTTTTTTTTCATTTTTTGCATTTCTAAAGGACACACTTACACAGAAGATGTGGAATAAGAAGAGAATTATAAAAAGCATTTATTTCTATTGCTGCCATTCTTCTGGGTATTCTTTTGAAATATAGATAAAAAGAGAATATGTACAAAGTTATTTCCCACTAGATAGAACACAAGAGATGAACAGTATAACCGTCCCTGCATCTCCATCACTCCATTCCCCTCAACAATATGAAAACTTTGCCTTGAAGGTACATTTGCAAATGTATATTTTGATCTTCACTGTCAGTATGCAATATTTTCCTAAATTTTTCTAACACAAAAATAGTAAAACTAAAAATGCTTGAGAGATCGAGAAATTGTTCTTGGGGTTGAACAACTCAAAAGAGATTGTTATCTTTTTTATATGTGATTTTATAACCTGGGTGGCCAAAAATGAGCTAAACCCTGTCCTCCTTGATGAACAAAAAAAGGTTCAAATACAAGCCAAAGGTTAAAATTACAAAAAACATTCTGTGAGATAATATTGGAAATAGATTTTTAATGGTATTTATTAGGTGGTTTGGTGTAGGAAAGATAATATATATAATTTTCTCAAATGTTCCTCTGTTGTAGTGTTTTCTAAAGTAGTTTATCGACTGTTGTAAAAAAATCAAAAATATATATACTAAAGAAATTTATAGCTAAAAATTTAATTATTTTTACTAAGAATCTGCAGTCATTAACATGTAAATATTTATAATATTCATTTTGATCATCCAAAAAGAGAATAACTCATATAAGCATTTTATAGATATCTTTGTTCTTCCCTCCAAAGCAAAATCTTGAGTTGATAATGCCCTAAAGAATAGAATTAGATATCTTCCTTTAAAATATTGCAGAACTACATGTATTCATAAAATATCAGGGACAAGTATTAAAATATCTAGAGTAATCAAGCATGTCAAGAAAACACACAGGATTAATAAAGTTTGCATACAAGTTGCTAGATAGTTGTGATTTATCCTCATAGGCAATTTCCCAGGTCCATAAACCCAGAATCAGTTTAGAAAATCAAAGTCATTGGAATGAATCCCAATGTGTCTGTGTAAAACAGTTCAGAATGATAATAAAAAGTGCTCCAATAGTCACTCTCTTCTTTTGGTATTTAACAAATATTACTTTAGATTTTAATTGTCATTTTACAAAACATTATTTTAACAAAATAATAGTGTCTATGTGCATGTTTTTGAATGTATTATATGGAATAAATTATAAATGGATCTTTATATATTAACTTCAATTATATTTTTAAACATCAGATCACCAACATAAGAAATATGCATGACAAGAGAGTGTTTTGGTACAGCAAATTATAGAGAGATAAATTAGTTGTTAAATTCTGTGGTGCAATTGTAAATAAATTTTTATTTTGTACTTCTTTGAAATGTTTACATTTTTAAGGTAATTGTCACAGGGCATGAACATGTACCAAAGAGAGACAGAGAGAGAAAGAGAGTGAAAAATCACCCTCTGCCAGAGGGGATGGCCATGTTGTAATACCTTCTCCCCCATTCTCTTCTTAGATACTGGGCATGCACACTCACATGACTGGTTGGGTCCGGGATTCAAACCTTGGTCATTCATGTGGGAGTCCTGTGCCTTAACCACTATGCCACTTGCTGGCCCAAAATATTTATATTTTAAAAAATTTGCATGTACTATTTTGTCCTGTTGGAGCAACAACAAAAAAGTTCAGTGCAAGAAACTTTTTGTACACATAACAGATTTAACAAAGACCCAAAGTGATTCACTCATTTCAAACATACACACCACCACATACACATATGCATACACACATATACACGTGCACACTCCTTGTAATTTTTAACTAACAAGTTAAAAATACAACAGCAGAAAACGTAATAGTTATGTCACTGGACTTTCATGTAGTCAACCATGGTTGAGCTCTAGACCTGATAGCTTAAAACACACTGGATGAATAAGCATGTGTGCCCAAACTCCCAAAAGGAGAATGGAGGAGAAGGGATTGCAGCATGGCCATCCCTCTGAGGGGTGATTTCTCCCTTTCTGTGTCTCTGTCTCTCTGGTGAATAAAATACAGCAAAATATAGTGCCCTATAGCAAAAATCTCTCTCTTAAAACAAAACGAAACAAATAGACATTAAAAATAAGGGGGCGGGAACCAGCAGTTAGTGTAATGGCTATGTCGCTGGACTCCCACGTAGTCGACCACGGTTC